GCTGGTCCCCGGCGCGCTCGGGCTGCCGCTCGCTCGCCCGCTCTCCGCCGCCGCTCGCTCCTCGCGCACACAATGAAGCTGCTGGCAGGGAAGTAGTGCCGGCTGCGGCCTCAGCACCCCTCCCCCAGCCGATGCCTCCGCCAGCTGAACATCTGGCCCTGGGGTGGGAGGGAGGGCCCGGGGGGCGGGGCCTGGGGGCCAGGGCTAGACCTCCAGGGGGTGGGGTCAGGACCGCGGAGGAGAGCCCTGGGCTCGGCCGGCCCCCCACCCCGCGCCCGGACTGGCCCCTGGGAGAGACCCCTGTTGCCCCCCAGGAGGACCCCGGGGTCAGCCCCACCCACGCGCGCGCCTGCCCAACACACCCTTGGGCTCGGGTTACGGCCGTCTGCCCCGGGGGCCCTGAGGCCGCCTGCCCGCCCGCCCGGGTGGAGCCCAGCTTTTCCTTCCATTTCCCTTCCTGCCAAGGAACTCCCCGCCCCCCCTTCCGCAGGGGGGACCCCCCCTTCAGGCGCCCTTGGGGGCCAGAGCGGATGGGAGGCCGGACAGGCGAGGGATGAATTCCTCCCAGAGCTACCGGGCCCAAGCCTGGCTTCTGGTGCATATGCGGGTCCCCAGGGGTCACCCCGATTCCCACTCAGTGCTGCAGTGTACACCCCGCAAACAGTGGCATAAGGGACTGAGGGATGGGGGTAGGCGGTGTAGGGAGAGGTCTGGACTGCAGGGAGAGGGAGGAGCTGGGTCTCCTCCCTACTGGGTTCTCTGTCACCCCAGCTGGGAGCAGCATCCCCCTCCCCCAGGACAAGCACGGGCAGAGTGACAGACAGGGAAGCGGGTAGAGAGGCACAGACGGAGATGGGGGAGGGGGTGGGCAGAGACTTTCAAAGCCAGACCCAGCCACCCTGCCAGGCACACAAAGAGCCGGCATACACACCGGCGGCGGCGGCTCGGAGCCTGCGAGCTGCGCCTTGCCCGTCCCCGCCGCCGGGACACGTGCTGCTGCGCACACAGTCCGAAGCCCCCGCCTGCGCCCCTCCCACCGCAGCCCCAGACTCCTAGACACACCTCCACCCGGGCGCACCCCGCGGTGCCCAGACGGAGCCGAGCCTGCAGCACCCTCCTCTCCCTTCCCTTCCTTGGCCACTCTGTAATCAGATTCCTAAATTTAGAAGCAGCCCAGGGCCCAGCCAGGGTTCCCCGCCCCCACCCACTGCCTGCGGCCAGTCGGCCTGGGGTCCTGCGGTCCGGCTACCACCCAGCTGGGGCCACCCGTTCCAGGGGACTCCAGCGGTGACCGGAGAAAGTCAAAATGTCCCCACCCGGCTGGGGTGCAGTCAGGCCATATGGGGCCACACTGGGGCCACCCAGCTCTGCTCGGCCACGTTGCTGGGCCACACCTCCTGCTGGAGCTTAGGGGCCTTTTTCCTGCAGTTAAATCATGGACTGGGCACTGAGCCCCAGGGTGGGGAGGTCTGCACAGAGAATGAATGGGTCAAGGTAGGCCCGAGCCAAGGGGTCTGTTACCTGATGAATAGAACCTCCCCAGCCCCAGCCCCCAGAGAGGCAGGGTGCTGTCCCCACCCATGGCACCCCCCCCCCAAGTGTAGGGAGCCTCTCCCTTCCATCCCCTCCTGCCTGGCCGGCAGCCATCACTGCACACAGCCCTCCTATGAGGGCGTCTTCCATCTTGCCCACACTGGCCTCCCATTAGGCAAGGCCTGAGTTGGGGCCCCCCACCCCCAGATCAGCCTCACCTCCTTTCCTACTCCTACCTAAGGGTCCAGGGCCCAGCCTCTGGCTCCCACACCAGGTCTCAGAATCAGGCTAGGCTGCCTCCCTCCTCTAGGGCTGCCCCAGGTACCCCCACACACTGGCATCCCTCCTTCCCCAGCACCCCTCCCCCCAAGAACCTAATTCTGCTCTCACTTCTCCCTGGAGCCTGGAGCTCAGGGCCAGAGGAAGATTCCGCTCTGGAGGTGGGGGCAGGGAAGGGAGATTTATTCCTCGGAGTTGGCGGGTTGGGGTGGGGAAAGACTACCAAGCCTGGTGTGTTGAGGCTTCTGCCCAGGAGGTGGAACCTGGGAGGGGTATCCTAGGAGTTTGGGGGTGATTGTGGGGGCCAGAGTGTCCAGGGAGGAGGCGCATTCCTTAGAGTAAACCCCCCCACACCCCAGGAAGCATGGGCCAGAGGTGAGCGGGGGAGGGGCAAGGCCCCACCCTCCCACCTGCTGCTGCCGCCCCCTCCCCAGCTGGCCCCCTCTTTTGTGCAAAGCCACACAAAGGACAAGGGGCCCTGGCCGGCCTGGCCATCTGCTCCCAGCAGCCTGAAGGCTCTTAAAGAGACAGCACCCCCCTCCCTGCCGCCCTGGGGCTGTGGGGCGGGGGTGGAGCTGCAGCTTAGGACTCTGGTACAGCGGCCCCCAAATACCACCCACCTCTCCCTGACTCCCCAGCTCCCTGGTCTGGAGTCATCTTCCCCCAGGCCAGGGTAGCAGAAGTGCCACGTGGCCTAGAAGGTGGGGTGTGGGAGGGGAGAAGAGCAGAGAGCAGCCTGGGGGTCAGCCCCCCTCTCCTCCAGCCTCTGGCGGCCAAGGGCCAGTGAGGGCCAGCAGAGGCACCAGCGCAGGGGTCCCTCGCCGTCCTGCAGCCACCTCCGTGCTGGGAAAGCTACTAGTCCTGGGAGGCCCTCCCCGCCATCTTCAGATGCGCTCCCACTCACCCTTCCACGGGAGGATGACAGTGCCTGCTTTGTGAGGGCTGCTGGCCAGGAGGCAGGCCGTCTTGCCATCACCTCCTGACGGGGCAGTTATGTTCTGCGTTTCCCAGTTCAAGAAACTGAGGCTTTGCCCCCCCACCCCAGGCCTCCAGAACCTGCCCCCCCACCTCCCCCTACCCCCGGGCCACAAAGGAGATCCTGAGGGGAACCCAGCCACATTCCCATGCAGTGTTTTTGCCACACTGCTGGGGACGCAAGTTTACATGATTGTGTGATTGTTTCCTTCTGGCCTGTCACCCACCAGTAGGCAGGCGTTATCCCCACCACCAGGTTCCCAAGGCCCCAGGGTACAGTCGGCTCCAATATCTGCCCACTAGGGAAGTGCCAGCGGCACTAAAGCCTTTCTCTTCCCTGGATGCCTCTGTCCTCTGGCTCGGGGGCATCTGGCCCCTCTCTCCTCAAGGTGAGGCAGAAGGGACAAAGGTTGAGCAGGGATGATGGGAAAGAAAAGAAGGGTGACCTTGAGCTGAGTGAACAACCGGGCCTCCTCTCACGCCTCCTCCTCCCAAAGGCGGGGGCAGCTCCAGCCAATCCTGAACCCGCAGCCCTGCCAGACAGACTGGGACTGTCCCGGGCTCCGGCCGGCCTGGCCGCTGCGGTGTGGTGCCTGGGACCCTGGCCAGGCCCTCTGTGGCCACAGCCCAGGGGCTAAGCTGGCCACAGCCCAGGGGAGGCAGGCAGGCAGGCAGGCAGGCGAGGCCCAGGCCCCGGGGTGGGGAGGGGGTTAGCTGGATATAAGCAACCTGGGTGAGCCATGGGCTGGGGGGAATTGGGAGCAGATGCGCCCCTGGACTAGAGAAGATGGGTACAGCTTGAAAGGAGCATGGGGAGCTCCCTCCAGGGCCCCCACCCCCTCAATCCTGCCCAGACAGGAATTTGACTCCTCCTGCCGACCGCCAAAGCCCTGGGGCCCACTGGCAGGCTGTGTGGCCCTGGGCGCCGCCACCCCCTCACAGGGGGCCCAGTTAGTGAGCCCTTGGCCCAGCCCCCACCACCACCGGTGCTGTGAAAAGGCTGAGGGAAGGTGACAGAGGTGGCAATCCGGTGCTTGGCACCGCCTCGGCGAGGTGGCCATGGGAGGAGGGCGCTAGGGAGCAGAGGGGAGGCAAGCACATCTGTAAGTGGCGCTGGGGGAGGGCAGCCCCAGCCAGGTGGGAGGTCACCCCGGAGACCCCAGGCTTCCTGACACCCCCGCTGAGGAAATCTGACTCCTTGAGCAGAGCAGGAACTGGGGAGGAAGGGTCAGCAAGGCTCAGCTGAGAGACACCCGAGAAGGTGACAGGCTCCACAGGAGCTAGCTTCCAGCCCAGGGAGCCTGCTGGGTTTTGCAGGAAGCCTAGAAGGGGCCCCCCCACCAGCCCTCACCTGGGCAACAGCGGCGCCCTCTGGTGGTGAGAGCATGGAGGGGATGGGTTTGTCCCACCTTTAGGGAACCATCACTATACTCCCAGGGAGGCTGAGCCTGGAACCCCCAGGGTTGCCATCCTTGTAGGAGAAGTAACCCCTGGGCCGTTTGGGGTTACTGAGCTTTAGAGCCAATTGCTAGCAAGTCTTCTTGGCTCAGAGCCACCTGGAACCTCCCAGAAAAAAAGGTGGAACAGAAACCCTTAGAGAAACAGTAAGAGGAGACACAGGCCAAGGAGCACAAACCCAGGGATGCCCAGTTCTGTTCGCTGTGTGGCCTTAGGTCAGTTATTTGACTCCTCTGAGCCTCAGACCCTCCATTTCTGAAAGGAAACAATAACTCTGACCTCCTAAGATTGCTAGGAAGTTCCCACATGAACGCAGGTAGAATGTAAGTACAACCTCCATCCACACTTATTTCCTTCTAAAGTCTGGGTCTCTTCTTGAGCACCCCCAGAAGGACTAAAGACCCCTCACTGAGCAGCCATGTTCTGTGGACCATCACCGCTCCACTCCAGAATCTGCCTCAGGAGCCAAAATCGTACCTCTGTGACATGGACACTGACACGTCCCAGGGCACTCGTCCACGGGTCCTCTGACCTGTCACGCAAACAGAGCACAGTCTAAATATGCTTTGATTGTGTCCCACTCCTGCCTAATCATCTGC